CAAACAGCCTAACAGCTGTTTGAAAGTCCAGGATTGAGGAAGATGCCCTGGACACCCAGACCACCCACCTACCCCCCCACCCCCACTCCTGGCCCACCTACCCTGCCCTCCCCAGATCCCTACTTCACTTGTAACTGTTGCTGTTGCTCTTATAGGATCCATAGGATAGGTACATAGACACACACACTATGTGCATATATGTGCATACAGGTGGTGTGTATAAATGATGTATATATGTATGTATACATACACCTGCGTGTGCACTCAATTGCTCAGTCCTGTCCGACTCTTTGTGATCCCATGGATTGTAGCCTGCCAGGCTTCTCTGTCCATGGAATTTCCCAGGGAAGAATATTGGAGCGGGTTGCCATTTCCTCCTCCAGGGGATCTTCCCGACCCAGGGATCCAGCTTGCATCTCCTGTACTGGCAGACGGGTTCTTTACCACAGAGCCACGTGGGAAGCCCAACTTTAGGTAGAGGGTCCTTTTTTTTATTTATTTTTTCACTTATTTTTATTAGTTGGAGGCTAATTACTTCACAACATTGCAGTGGGTTTTGTCATACATTGACATGAATCAGCCATGGAGTTACATGTATTCCCCATCCCGATCCCCCCTCCCACCTCCCTCTCCACCCGATTCCTCTGGGTCTTCCCAGTGCACCAGGCATGTATATTATCTACATGAGACAAGTGCTAGAGGGTCCTTTTTAAAATGCAGGTAAGAAAAATAAAATAAAATGCAGGTAAGAAATCATCTTTAGTGGATTCATAGGAAGAGCCTCCTGTTACAGGGCTGTGATACCCATCAATGCATCTTTACCTCTAAAGTGGTGCCTCTCTGGTGCACACACAGCTGTGTTGGCTCTGAAGGGTTTGTTTCATTTTAAAGTGTTTGTGTAGTTCTCAAGTGTGTGATTCTTTGCAGACACATAGGACGCCACTCCCAGCTTAAGGCTGTCCTCATATCATGTGCACATTGTATGACAGGAGGTAACTGTCCTTTAGTTCAGGGAAAATTAATAATTGCTATTATCTTTGGCTGCACCTCTCAGCAAATGTATGTGGGATCTTAGTTCTCTGGCCAGGGATCAAACCCATGGCCCCTGCATTGACAGCTCAGCATCTTAATCGCTGGACCACCAGGGAAGTCCTCCAAAAAATAAACATTGGTGAGGATCCCATTTCAATCAATGGCACTTGTCGTAGCATTATTTTAGGATATAGTTATTTCTGTCTCAGATTAGGAGTCTCTCTCTCTATATATATATTTTTTCCTTTCTTTATAATTTTATTTTTATTTTTGGCTATGTTGGGTCTTTGTTGCTTCATGGGCTTTTCTCTAGTTGTGGCAAGTGGGCTTCTCACGGTGGGGACTTCTCTTGTTGCGGAGCACAGGCTTTTGGGCACGCAGGCTTCAGCAGTTGAGGCTCCAGGTCTCTAGATCCCAGGCTCAGCAGCTGTGGTGCACGGGCTTAGTTGCTCCACGGCATGTGGGGTCCTCCCAGACCAGGAATTGAACTCGAATCTCCAGCATTGGCAGGCAGATTCTTTGCCACTGAACCACCAGGGAAGTCCTTTCCCTTTCTTTAATCTTGTGACCTTGAGTCTATTAGCCAGTTTCTGCATCTAGATATGGAGAAGGCAATGGCATCCCACTCCAGTACTCTTGCCTGGAAAATCCCATGGATGGAGGAGCCTGGTAGGCTGCAGTCCTTGGGGTCGCTGAGTCGGACATGACTGAGCAACTTCACTTTCACTTTTCACTTTCATGCATTGGAGAAGGACATGACAACCCACTCCAGTGTTCTTGCCTGGAGAATCCCAGGGACAGGGGAGCCTGGTGGGCTGCCGTCTGTGGGGTCACACAGAGTCAGACACGACTGAAGTGACTTAGCAGCAGCAGCAGCAGCATCTAGATAATCTGTCTACTTCAAACATTGCCTTTATTCCGTATTTATTCTTTGCGTGGTGACCTTTAATGCAGCCTGGCCTTGGTGAGATTTAGTTCAGAGAGAATGCAGAGGGAAGCCAGGCCCGGAATAACACAACACGCAGCTCCAGCTGGCTGTGGATAGAAGTGGAGGCATTTGTGTGGCCAGGGTAGCAGAGGCTGAGCAGAGGTTGGGAAGTGAGAGGCTGGGACCCTGAAAGCTGTCCACACTGCCCCTTGCAGGGCTTCTGACCCTGCTGGACCATCTCCCATCTTCCAGTGACCCGGGATATGTGGAAATATTCAGACTTTGTAAATACGGATTCAGATAAACTAAGCTCTGGATTTAGATGAACTAAGAAATGACAAGTAAATCATTCACATGGGTTATAAATGTTTCCGTGAAGTGAGATTGTAAACAAGGAACATGCATTTTATGACTCCTGCCAGGCTTATTAAGGGCTTCCCCAGTGGCTCAGCGGTGAAGAACCCACCAGCAATGCAGTTGACAAAAGGTTTGATCCCTGGGTCGGGAAGATCCCCTGGAGAAGGGAATAGCAACTCACTGCAGTACTCTTGCCTGGGAAACCCCATGAACAGAGGAGCCTGGTAGGCTACAGTTCATGGGGTTGGAAAGAGTTGGACACAACTGAGTGTGCGTGCACACCAAGCTTATTTAACAGAGGCTGTGCATCTATTATGTTTCCAGGGTAAGCTGGTTTGGGGAAATGAGTAGGGTTTTTTTATAAATATTTTTAAATTAATATTTTATATATTGAAAAGAACGTTTACAATTCACATGAGATGTAGAGAGTAGTAATAAAAGTAACTCAGTGTAGGGAAGCAGACATGACTAATTCCTTTGAGATCAGCTTCTGCCCACTCACATCCTATCCTCCTTGGGTTTCTGTTCTTTATTCCCTTACTTTTCTTTATGATCTCACTATGTAGGGCTGAAACTCTTAAATATTACATTAGTTGGGACTTCCATGTTTCTGCATCTCACAAGGCCTGAGGTATCAGGCCGAATGTAGCATCTGCAGCTCCCCTTTCCAGGGAAGTTTACCGAGTCATGGGTGGGCCTCAGTGCATCCCCTCACTGCTGTGTGGTGCTCCATCCATCCATCCTTGTGGAGTTTCCATTTCTTCCCAGCTGCAAACAGGACTGCTGCTAGCTTCCTTGCTCATGTCCTGCTGAACATCAGTGAGGCCAAAAGGAGAATCCCTGGCTCACCAGTTGCCAAGGGCTTCCTCCGTCACCCACATGGTCTGGCCAGCTCAGAAGCCTCCACCAGCAGCAGGGACATGCCCATGGATCCAGATTCTTGCAAACCCCCAGCGTCATCAGACTTGGAATGTATTGTCCATTTGATGGGTATGAAATGAAGTCTGCTTGTAGCTACAGTTTGCAATTACACGTGGTTCTGCAGGTTGATCTCTCCCCCATGGCTGTTGACCGTCGTGTTTTCTCTTCTGAATGTAAGCCCTTTCTGAGATAGCTATCACAGATTTTTATCCCAGTCTGGGCCTTGCCTATTCATTTCCCTAGTGGTGTCTTTCAGTGGACACACTTTTAAAATTTCTATAAAATCCTGTTTACCAGCTTTTTCTCTTTTATGGTTAGTGCTTTTTGTAACCTAAGAAATCTTTATGTACCCCAAGATCTCAAAGATGTTCTCCTATCTTTTCTTCTAGAAGATTTGTAGTTTTAGCTTTTTTTAAAAAGGAACTTGATGCATCTCAAATTAATTTTTATATTAAGAGATGGTATGAGGTAGGGATAGCCGAAGTTAATTGGAAGATCCCCTGGAGAAGGGAATGGCTACCTACCCCAGTATTCCTACCTGGAGAATTCCATGAACAGGGGAGCCTATCGGGCTACAGTCTATTGGATTGCAGAGTCAAACCCGACTGAGCTGCTAATACTTTGACTTTTAACTTTCAAGGTTAACCACATGTTCCAGCACACATTGATTGAAATGACTTTATCTTTCCCCACCGATTTGCACTGGTGCCTTTGTTTCTGCTTCTAATTTATGAAACCAGAGTCCTTTCGAGAGGAAGAAGTAAGAAGCCCAGGCTTCAAGTTTGGGACAGTGTGTCTTCCAGTGGGAGTAATCCATTAACTGACCTTCTCACAAATTTGCTAAGTACCTCAACTCGCCACCTGCAAGCCTTGGAGATTTGAGGCACATCTTGCCTGCTCCACACCAACAGATTCTGGGAGCCAAAGACGGTGCTGGGACAATGTGCACGCCTCAGTGAGAAGAATGCGAGGGAGTTGGGGGTGTGGTCCCTGCTTCTGTGACTCCTGTGAGATCCAAGGGGCAGGAGTGAACCCCACCATGGAGCGGTGCCCCACTGTTTACTTAGACATTGAGTCAGGTGGCTGGTGGGGTTTGGGGGAACATCAGTGATGATCATTTTTGTCTTTTTCCAAAATGTTTGTCTTGTGTTGTCTGTGGATGAGTAGACATGCCCGTCTTCTACCTAGAGGTTTGTTTCTGAAGAACAATGTAGGGAGACTCCATGTATAATGAATCTCAGCTCTGTTGAGAGTTGAATATCCATTGGAAGGACTGCTGCTGAAGCTCCAATTCTTTGGCCACCTGATGTGAGGAGCTGACTCACTGGGAAAGACCCTGATACTGGGAAAGATGAAAGGCAACAGAAGTGGGCAGCAGAGAATGAGAGAGTTAAAAGCATCACTGACTCAGTGAACATGAGAGTGAGCACACTCAGATGGTGGAGGACAGGGGAGCCTGGCGTGCCGCGGTCCTTGGGTTCAAAAAGAGTCAGACTTGACTCGGCGGCTGAATGACTGTTGAAGAGAGTTGGCAGTTACTCACAAGCACATGTGTGCTTTCCTGGCAGGGTCTCTGCCTGCAGGAGGAGGCCAAGTCAGAAGTCTTTCTTGCAGTATTTTTCACAGGTGTCAAATGATTTCCTTTCTCTGAAGTTACAACTGGGAATTGATGTTTATTTGTCACGCCCGGAACGGTTCTATCCATCGCTCGGTCCTCTAACCTCCCTTTCCTTTCCCATCCCTCAGAGCTGCCGCCAGCATGATGAGCACCAAGGCCTTCACCCTGGTCCCCGCCATCGAGCGGGAGCAGCTGCTGGGCGACCGGGACCGGGGGTTACTGGAGTGTGTGGAGTGCTGCGGCCGGAACCTCTACGTGGGCACCAGCGACTGCTTCGTGTACCACTTCCTGCTGGAGGAGAAGCCCTCGCCCGGCGGGTCGGCCACATTCACAGCCACCAAGCAGCTGCACAGACACCTGGGTTTCAAGAAGGCGGTGAGCGAGCTGCGGGCCGCGTCGGCGCTCAGCCGGCTGCTGGTGCTGTGCGACGGCTGCATCAGCCTGGTCCATATGCTGAGCCTGGAGCCCGTGCCCTCGGGCGCCCGCATCAAGGGGGCCACGGCCTTCGCCTTGAACGAGAACCCGGTGAGCGGGGACCCCTTCTGCGTGGAGGTGTGCATCATCTCGGTCAAGCGCAGGACCATCCAGGTCTTCCTGGTGTACGAGGACCGCGTCCAGATTGTCAGGGAGGTGTCCACGCCGGAGCAGCCCCTGGCCGTGGCCGTGGACGGCCACTTCCTGTGCCTGGCCCTCACCACCCAGTACATCATCCTCAACTACAGCACGGGCGTTGCCCAGGACCTGTTCCCGTTCTGCAGCGAGGAGCGGCGGCCCATCGTCAAGAGGATCGGGAGACAGGAGTTCCTCCTGGCGGGCCCTGGGGGACTGGGTGAGCAGGGTGCCCAGGTGCCTCCACTAAGCTTGCCACTCCCTGCCTAGTCTCTCCACTTCTGTCCCTGCATTCACACTGAGGTTGGAGAGCGAGGTTGTGGTTGTGAAAAGCAGATACTCGTGGACTGTTTGCCGACGTTGAGGCAAGAGGCAAACAACCGCATGCCCAGTGTTGGCTCAGTTTTCATTAGATCGTTTTGTGAGTGTGGGTTTCATGGCACAAAAATAGGCCAGTCATAGCATCACCTATTTTGTGCTAAAGTAGAGCCTGAGGGACTGCTCAAGTGACTCAGTGGTAAAGAACCTGCCTGCCATACAGGAGCCCCAGGAGATGCAGGTTCGATCCCTGAGTCGGGAAGATCCTGGAGAGGGAAGTGGCGACCCGCTCCAGTGTTCTTGATTGGAAAGTCCCATGGACAGAGGAGCCTGGTGGGCTGCAGGCCTTAGGGTCGCGAAGAGTTGGACACAGCTGAGCGCAGTACAAAGTAGAGCCTGAAGATGGCTCCAGAGAGAATTCTTGTAAGGGGATAAGTGCAAAAATAAGAATCTATAAGACTTCCTTATAGGATTTTCTACTGTGTATGGGTTTCCACCTGGTCTGTGTTTATTCTCCATTCTAAAAAGGAGTTGAGGGAGCTCACTTCTAGATATTTTGAAGTGTGGAGGTTCCAAGGTCATGTCCCTGATTTTCTCTTACTGACTGCAGTTTCATCCCACCAAAAGCCTCTAGTTTAGTTGCTAGCTTCTTGGAAGGGCTTTCTTTGTTTCCTGTGGCCTTTCTAGTTCTCAGCATCACCTCCTGAGAATCGTAGCTGACAGCATCACTGGTGGTCGTAGGCATGGATGACACGTAGTGTCAGGCAGGGCTTTGTTTCCCTCAAACGGGGAATTAGGATGATAGCTTTTCCAAATCAACTGTTTTTTCGTTTGCTTGTTTGTAGATATCCCCACACCTGATTCGGGAGTCAAAAAACCCAGACACCACTTAAGGACTGAAGAACAGAGGCAGTTAGTGCTTTAAGTATAAAGCAGATAAACCATCAGTGAGTGTGGATGTTATCACTGACAAACACTCAACAGCAGACTGTCTTGAATTGCAAAGTTAGTTGTACCCCTGTATCAGAGAGAACGTGGAACCAGAATTACACCTGAACTCTCAGTGGTGGCGGGTGGGCAGGGTGGGGCAGGCGGTGCGGGATGACACTTACACACAGGACGTCTTGTCGAGCGTACAGTAGGTGCTCAATAAGTATCTGAACGAATGCATTCAGTGTGGAGTGAATGTCTAGGGAAAAGCTGGTGCTTAGAGACGCAAACCTGTGGGAGGACTGGATGTGGCAGAAAGCTTGTGAAGCTTCTTAAATTGTGCGGAATTCTCTCTTCGCCATGTTTGAGGACATGAGCAGTGTACACCTTCATGTGGGTGCATGTACACTCTTTTTGGTTTGTTTGTTTTAATTTATATGGCTATGCTGGGTTTTCATTGCTGCAAAGGCTTTTCTTGCTGCAGTGAGCAAGGGCGGCTCTGTAATTGTGGTTTGCAGGCTTCTCACTGCAGTGGCTTCTCTTGTTGCAGAGCACGTGCTCTAGAGCATGTGGGTTTCAGTAGTTAGAGCTTGTGAGCTTAGTTGTTCCAAGGCACGTGGGATCTTCCCAGATTGGGGATGAAACCCTGTCTCTTGCATTGGCAGGTGGATTTTTTTACCACCTGAGTCACCAGGGAAGACCCATGTGCACGTTTTTTAACCTTATGTTTAATTCAGTTCAGCTCAGTCACTCAGTTGTGTCCAACTCTTTGCGACCCCACAGACTGCAGCACACCAGGCGTCCCTGTCCATCACCAACTCCCGGAGCTTGCTCAAACTCATGTCCATCGAGTTGGTGATGCCATCCAACCATCTCATCCCCTGTCGTTCTCTTTTCCTCCTGCCTTCAATCTTTCCCAGCATCATGGTCTTTTCCATTGAGTCAGTTCTTCATGTCAGGTGGCCAAAGTATTGGAGCTTCAGCTTCAGCATCAGTCCTTCCAGTGAATATTCAGGACTGATCTCCTTTAGGATGGACTCGCTGGATCTCCTTGTAGTCCAAGGGGCTCTCAAGAGTCTTCTCCAACACCACAGTTCAAAAGCATCAAATCTTTGGCACTCAGCTTTCTTTACAGTCCAACTCTCACATCCATACATGACCACTGGAAAAACCATAGCCTTGTCTAGACAGACCTTTGTTGGCAAAGTAATGTCTCTGCTTTTTAATATGCTGTCTAGGTTGGTCATAGCTTTTCTTCCAAGGAATAAGCATCTTTTAATTTTATGTTTAATTAGAAGGAGGTGTAAGGTGTGGACATTCTGGGGAGAGAGGTTCCCTTCATGAGAACAAATATGAGGGTCTTCTGTCCATACAGCCTGGTATATCATCTCTCCCACCCTGAAATGTGATGAAGGGGACAGGTATTCACCTCTGCAGAAAACAGGCAAGCAAACCACAGCTCTCTGAAGCCCCCCGATGCTTCCTGTTTTCCCAGGCATGTTCGCCACAGTGGCTGGGATCTCTCAGCGCGCACCTGTTCGCTGGTCGGAGAATGTGATCGGAGCGGCCGTCTGCTTCCCATACGTCGTCGCCTTGGATGATGAGTTCATCACCGTGCATAGCATGCTGGATCAGCAGCAGAAGCAGACCCTGCCCTTTAAGGAAGGCCACATCCTCCAGGATTTTGAAGGTACGAGTTTCCACCGAATTTTCAGGTGTTTTGTGATGGTATTTCTTCACTAAAGGCTATAAGGAATCCCTGGGAACATGGCCTCTTGCTGAGCACAGAAAATCCATAGGCACTGTGTGATACAGTCTTTGAGCTTCAGGGGCACGGAGATTAAAGGGAAATGGGCATTTAAACAAATAGCTACAGCATTTGAGAGCTTGACAGCAACAAATAAGGCCAGCTAGGAGAACAGAGTAGGAAGTAGTTCTTAACCATACCAGGGAGGGCTTCTTGCAGGAGGTGGCATTTGAGCCAAACTTTTGAGGATGAGCTGGATTCAGCCAAGCACATATGGTATGAAAGAACCTTTAGGCAGACAGAAAGGCACATGTGAGTCTGCACAGGAGGGAACCCCAGGTTCCAGATCGTGTAGGTCATTCAGTGTGACTGTGGTGCCCAGTATGTGAGGAGGGCCAGCAGGGGATGAGGCCTTAGCAGATCAGGGCAGCCAGGGAGCGAACCACATGAGGGATCTATTGTGGCTCAGTGGTAAAGAAACCGCCTGCCAAGCAGGAGATGCAGCTTCCATCCCTGGGTCTGGAAGATCCTCTGGAGAAAGAAATGGCAACCCACTCCAGTATTCTTGCCAGGGAAAGCCCATGGACAGAGGAATCCAGTGGGCTGTAGTCCATGGGGTCTCAGAAGAGTCATACATGACTTAGCGACTAAATAACAAGAAGAGCAATTTTATCATGAGCATCTTCACATGTACTGAAAAGCTGAAGGAGAAACAAAGTGACTTCCCATCCCCTGCACCTGGATTTGGTGCTGGTTCACATTCAGCTGAGCCGCCTGGAAGTATGTAGAGGAGATCGTGACACTGAATCCAGAACCCTCCAGCAGGCATTTTTCCACATAACCCCAGAGCCCTTTCCACACCTCGGACATGCAGTCTCAGCGCTGCCCATGGCCAAGTTTCCCGGTTCCCTGAGAACGCCGCTCGTGATGTTGTCCTGAAGCCAAGAGCTCATGTGTATTGTGCACTCATTCTCTCTGCCCCCAGGGCTCCCCACGCACTGCCCTTCCTGTGTTAGGTGCTAGGGGCACAGCCCGCTGAGACTTGTCATCCCACACGAGCGTGTCAGCACTCAGCTCACGCTCCAGCACACGCGCGCGGGAGAGCTTATTCACGACAGTGTTAGCGCTCTGTGGGCTGAGGGTGGGGGCAGGCATGCGGGTCACTGGCACAGGGAGGCTGCTGACGTAACTGCCCCAGGCGGGAACGCGGGAAGCCTCCTGGAAGGAGGCCCCAACGCGGAGTAGGGGCCAGATCTCGCAAGTGTGGGGGGATGGTGCTGGTTGGCATGGAGACAGAGGACGCAGAGAAGACCGCCAGGCAGGGAGCCCAGGAAGAGGGGTGCAGGGGCATCCGGCGGGAGAGACCAGGTGGTGGGCCTGGGCTGAAGGTGATGGGTCCCAAGGAACGGGAAGCAGAGGGAGCAGGAAGATGTGGCTGACCCTGAACAACCTTCAGACAGAAAGACAAGGCCATTCCACTGCTTCCTGGGAACAGGCATTAATTTAGTTTGAAACGCATCTCCAGAGAGAGCAGAACTCGCTCTCAATGCTTGGCAGGAGGAGTTCTCTTGGGTGCAGGCCTGACTCTCCTTTGGGTTGCGCAGGACCTAATGGTGCCGAGGGTCAGGGTCTCTCGTGGGAGGGAGGAGGTAACCCGGGACTCGGTGATCTGGGATAGTGGGCAAGTGCGAGATGCTAGCTTATGGTTCAGAATGGCACCTTGTAATCTTAGTTTCTTATAAACTGACTAACCTGGAGAGAAAAGAGTTTTAAACAGCTTTATCTGAAAAAGTGAAAGTGTTAGTTGCTCAGTCACATTCAACACTTTTGTGACCCATGGACTGTAGCCCACCAGGCTGCTCTATCCATGGGATTTGCCAGACAAGGACACTGGAATGGGTTGCCATGACCTCCTCCCAGGGGATCTTTCAGACTGAGGGGTAAAACCCAGGTCTCCCGCTTTGCACGTCTTTTCCATCTGAGCCACCAGGGACGCCCCAGCTTTATATGAGGAGTAGCATAATTCTTATTGCTCATTTTCCGTGATGGAGCTGTATAGCTTCATATGGATCTATTCAACTGGCTTTAAATTTATCAGCATCGTAGAATAAAAAAAGGCAAAGCGTCTTTATGTCTTAAACTTCAGAAATGTAGTGTTAAGAGTTTGCCTTTTTCTTATGATGGAAAGGAGATAGGAGAAGCATTAATTTCTGATTGCTGTGGCAATTCTGTGTTGGGAGAACTGTGATGACATTGTTCAGACGTCAGCTCGTGCTCCTGTGCGGTGAAAGTGGGGTGTTTTCTTGCCAGAGCAATGTCCATTTGCCCTCCGACAGTGTTCCATTTCTTCCCAGGAAGAGTGATCGTTGCCACCAGTAAAGGTGTTTACATCTTGGTTCCACTACCTCTGGAAAAACAAATACAGGACCTGTTAGCCAGCCGCCGAGTGGAGGAGGCTCTGGTTCTCGCGAAAGGCGCCCGGAGGAACATCCCGAAGGAAAAATTTCAGGTTTGTAGTCAGCGAGCCGTAAAGAAGCGTGCCTCCAAGCTGCCGATTAGAAAATGTTAGGATCTAAGGGCGCCAGGCCCTGCAGACTGCTTTGTGTCTGTCATTCAAGTTTCTCTGTGCATCCACGTCATACAGATAAGGATACAGGCTGCAGGAGGGGGTCATGATGCTGGCAGAGGCCAAGTCGGGATTTGAGCATTTGACATGATTCCCATGCTTAATATACCACATTGTATTTCCAATCATATTCTTCCAGAGTAGACTAAGGGTACTGTGATTACAAACGAAAAGATCCTCAGCATAATTTGTTTCCCAATGTAGAATTTATATTTGTTGGGATGGGGTTGAATTTTTTAAGTTTCTATTATCTGTAGGAAAAGCTTTGTGAACCATACTCATAAATTGTCTAATACTGCCAGAATCCATCTAATTAATTCCCTTAGGAGAAAGCCTGTAATGCATTTAAGAAATGCTAGCTTTACTATCGTTGGTATGATCAATATAGTTGATGAAACAATCGTGAATTATTCTCACATCTGAAGAAATCAGGTTTCCTAAAATTTGCTTCTTAATTGGTTGCAAGGTGAGTTCAGGTCACTTTATGTATTTGAGAATCATAAAGTGTAATATTGGTGCATGCACGCTTCTTACAAACATCTAAGTCACTCATGAAAGATTCTCATGAAGTCAGAGTGATCCCCCTCTTGTTACCTGCTGGCCAGATTTTCAGGACTATATGGTTTGTGGGATGAAGCTGTGCTTTCTGGCCTCCTTGCCTTTTTGCTGCAGAAGGTAGACTAAAGGTGGAAAAAGTCAGAACCTGTCATTTATGGTCACAGGATAAATATTGATAAACTTTTCATCTTTATTCCGTATTTTAAAAAATTTTATTGAAGTATAATTGATTTACAGTGTTGTGTTAATTACTGTTGACAGCAGAGTGACTCAGTTATAAATATATATACATTCTTATTCATATTCTTTTCCGTTATTGTTATTGCGGGATGTTGACTATAGTTCCTAGGTTGTGCTAGTGGTAAAGAACCTGCCCGTCAATGCAGAAGACATAAGAGGTGTGGGTTCGATTCCTGGGTCTGGAAGATCCCCTGGAGAAGGAAATGGCAACCCACTCCAATATTCTTGCCTAGAGAATCCCACGGATAGAGAGGAGCCTGGTGGGCTACCGTCCATGCGGTCGCAAAGACTTGGACACAACTGAGTGATTTAGCATACATGCACCCTGTGCTATGCAGTAGGACCTTGTTAATCTATCCTGTATGCTGGCATCTGCTAATCCCAAACTCCCAATCCTCCCCTCACCCCAGCCCTGTTCCTCACGTTTTTCAAGTGAGATGATCTGCAAACTTTCAGCAGGGGGCAGCAAAGCACAAAGAAGAAAGCTGTCAGTTCAGGGCGTGTTTCTGAGCTGAGAGCACCTATTTCTGCCTCGTGCATCGCGTTGTTTCCTTGTTTGCCGCATCCTGGTGGGAAGGCCAGTGGGGCTCTAGCGGCCTCTTCTCTCAGCTCCTCTCCCCCGGCAGTGGCCTCAGGGGCTCTGGGGTGTCTGGATGGGCACATATCAGGGATCCCCTCTTGGACACACCCAGGGACACACCTCAAATGTGTCGCATTTTCTTAAAGAGGCTTCCCGTGTTCTTGAATTTTTGCTCCCCTCTTATTTTCCCACGAGTAGCCGAACAGTGGGCACTGGCTAGTGTTGGCCCTTATCCTGCCCTCCTGTGTGATGTCCCTGTTGGGGTGTGTCCATCTGGCACACCCCTGTTTCCCCCCCCCCCCCCTGTTGTTTTAGACTCCTATTTGGGCCCAGGAGATGCAGCCTCAGTGACCTTGAACTTGGCCCTGGTTCTCCTGCCTACATGACCACTGGGAACCCTCCTCCGTTTTGCTGGAATTGTGTTCACAGTCCCTTCCTGCCTGCTTGCAGCCCATCCTCCACGCCACCGCTGAAGGAGCTTTCTGGCATGTCCACACCCTTTTGCCGTAGATCCTACAGTGGGAACCTCCTGGCCAGAGTCAGGTCCACCTCACATGGCCTTGGTGACTGCACCCTGCCCACATCCCCAGCCTCTCCCACCGCCTCTGTTCCCCTGTGACCTGGCCTGAGCCACCTGCCACCTGTGTGCTGGGCAGGCACCCCAGAAGCATCCTGAGAACAGGTCAGAAATAACCAGCATCACCGACCAAAGACAAGGGGGTCCTGGGGCAGACAGCTGCCACTGGGCGCCCCTGGGGAGTCTGGGCTGGCCTCCCACCCCTGCCCCATTGCTTTCTTCCCTTGTTATTTGTGCTGGTTTTTGTCAGTGGAGAGAACATTCATCATCCAGCAAATACAGGGTTTTTTGCTTTTTAGATTTTTTTTTTAAACATGGGCCATTTAAAAAATCTTTATTGAATTTGTTACAGTATTGTTTCTGTTTTTCGGCTGCAAAGCTTGTGGGATCTTAGTTCCCCAACCAGGGATCGAACCCACACCCCTTGCCTTGGAAGGCGAAGTCTTAACCACTGGACCACCAGGGAAGTTCCCTAAAATATGGTTTCTATACTGTGCTTACATGTCTCTTCTGTGACTCTGCCCCATCCTTCCAGGCAGCACTGACTCCTCTGAGCTCCCACAGTTATCCCTGTTAACCTATAACACACAGCCGTTTACTCCCCAGCTCCAGCTCACTCCTCCCCGGGTCCTGGGCAGACACTCGCCTCCATTTCCCTCGGCCCCTGCTTGCGCCTGGGGCTGAACAACGAGGAATGAGTAACGAGTGATTCAGAGCTTTGAACTGGTCTTCAAACAGCTAGGCTCTGTGGATCCAGGAGCAGAAGAGTTATTGTTTAAAATAGAACCATGAGAGGAAAAGAAGACAGTATTGACAAAAGAGTTCAGAGATAACGTCTCATTCATATTAATATGTTTTGACTGTGACTCTTACAAGGATTAGATATGTTACTTACTTTAACTTTAGGAGGCTTGCAACCAAATGCCAGACCCTGGGCTCAGGAAAACCAGAAAGTGGGGCGGGAAAGAAACCAGAAGTTGAGGGGACTGGCTTTTCACAGTTCACCTTTCTCTCCATTAAAGCTAGTGTTGGTTTTGCTTCACTGAGTTCTGAACTAGGGAGGGATTTATGGAGAAGTTTCACTGTGGGACTCAGATTAAAGGAATATTCCTTCCAGAGATCCAAAAGGTGAGAAGGCTTAGGTCTTTAAGAAGCCAAGCTTAAATTATATTAAGGTTTGGGACGCTGTAAAGAAAGAGGCAGTAAGGGGTATTGACAGACACGGGTGTGTGTCTTACAGACGCTTCCTTGATGTGCATCATGTAGTATGGATAGTGTTGTATTCAAGCTTGAGCTCTGATACCTGTTTTTTTTTTTCCTATTTCATCTAAAACTATTTCACTATGTATTTTCAAAAGACAAGAGAGCCCCCCTTTGAAATGTAAGTATCACATACATCTCTGAAATAAACACTGATTCCTTCCTGGGTTGGGGTGTCCCATCTGCCCAAGAGTCCCCAGTTGTCCTGTAAATGTTTGCATCTTGCATCCTTTTTATCCTGGAGGGAAATCCCGCTAGGGCTGCACCGAAAGATTTCTCTGTTTCAGAGTCATGGGGCCCAGTTCTCCGAGCTGGTCTGCCAGCTACTCTTTCCTGTAGATACTTAGGTTCCTTCATTTCATTTGACTTTTGCTTTATAAAGATTGCTTTATTTATTTATTTTTGGCCGTGCTGTGCATGGGCTTTCTCTAGTTCCGCCAAGCAGCGGATACTCTCTAGCTGGGATGTGCGGGCTTCTCATTGCGGTGGTTTCTCTCGTGGAGCGCTGGCTCCAGGCGTGCGGGCTTCAGTAGTTGTGGTTCCCTGGCTTCTGAGCTCAAGCTCAGTAGCTGTGGCACATGGACTTCGTTGCTTCGCAGCATGTGGGGTCTTAGCTCCCTGACCAGGGATCCAACCACGTCCCCTGCATGGCAAGGCGGCTTCTTAACCACTAGACCACTAGGGGAGTCCTCAAAGTGGAGTTTCGTAAAAAGTGATCGGGTCAGCAGGTGATTTCAAAACAGCAGGTACTATGCCAGGGTGTGAGGATGCTAAGATGAATAATGGAGTGGCTTCAAGGAATTGATAGCTTCTTGAGCAGCAGAGTGTTCTGGAAAGGGGAGGGATCTAAACGTGATTAGAGTCTTCAGTTGTGAGGTGGTGCAGGTGTGAGCTGAGGTGCTAGAGCCAGTGAGGACATAGCAGAGATGGCTCCACAAAGCCTTTCAGACAAAGGTAGACAGAGCTCACAGCTGATCAGCCGGGCAGTGATGGGGTCGGAGTGGAATTGAAGACACCACAGGGCATCTTATTTTTTTTTCTTTCTTTTGAATTTTTGATTTTGTACTGGAGAATAGCCGATGAATAACATTGTGATAGTTTCAGGTGAACGAGGAAGGTACTCAGCCACACATATACATGTATTGGTTAACCATAGGGCATCTTCCCTGAGTGTGCTACTATTTCTGGAAGTTTCCAGAATGAGGGGCTCCGCGGTCCAGGAAATCTGGGCAGGACCAGATAAGACAAAGATAGATGGTGCTTGTACTATAGGAATCCTCAGACTGTGACTTGTGGGCGTGGCTGTGCGTCCCCAGTGGGGGAGGGGACGGAAGGCACAGCATCTCCCCAGCTTCAGCAGGAAAGCCTGCTTATTGATCTATCGTTAAATGAGATGGACCCCATGCTCTAAGGGACACTCCAAAATGCCGCTGTGAAGAGAGTTCCGCAAGAGTGAAGAGGGGTGGGCAGCTTCTAGGCTGCCGGGAACACTGGCCTTGTTGACATCTGCCTGAGCACTCGAGGTAGCAGCGACAAGAAAGCCAGGGAGGGTGGGAGGAGGAATACGGACCAGTGGGAAAAAGTGAAAATGTTCGTCGCTCAGTCGTGTCTGACTCTTTCTGACCCCGTGGACTGTAGCCTGCCAGGCTACTCTGATCGTGGGATTCTCCAGCAAGAACACTGGAGTGGGTTGCCATTTCCTTCTCCAGGGGATCCTCCTGACTCAGGGATCGAACCCTGAGTCTGCAGGTGGACGCCTTACCACAGAGCCGTCAGGGAAGCCCAGGGATGTTAGTGACTCTGTGATACAGACCAGGATGGATGGGACATCAGGAGGAGCAGTGATTATTCAGAGAGCAGCTTGATCTCGGGAACAAGAGGTGGATCGACATGTGTGTGTGTATACTAACGTGTTGAGAGTAGTTGCGTGTGAGCCTTGTCTCTTCCTTACCCTGGAACTTCAGGATTCCCTGTAATAGTTAACGTGTAGCCTGGGTTGTGACCAGGACCTCAGTTTCCCTCCCTTGGTGAGTGACTCCAGCTGTTCTGAGCGACGACGCCTGTGTCCCCTGCAGGTCATGTACCGGCGGATCCTGCTGCAGGCGGGCTTCATACAGTTTGCACAGCTCCAGTTCCTGGAGGCTAAAGAACTCTTCAGGTAACTCGAGGTGTCGGCAGCAAGCCCTCCTGTGTCCCTGCGGCTGGGCCTCGGTCGTCACTGGGGTGCTGTGACAGAGAGTCGTGCAGGCGCAGTGCTCCGGGGAGAGTGGGGAGGCCCCCCCCCCCCCCGTGCTCAGCCCTCGGCCCCCGCCCCCTGTAGCCCAGGGGTCACTGCTGTGGGTCTTGAGGGTGGGGCTGATGAGAGGCATACAGAGTGGTCCTCGGAGAGAGGAGAAGGCAGTTGTAAAGAGCACCTGTGATGAACTGTGGATTCCCTGAGGGCTTGGCTTCCCTTTGCTCCAGAGATTTTAACTAACTAAAGGCTGTGAGTCTAGAGAGAGAGCAGGTGGGTTTATGAGAACTGTTCTTGTTCTAGAGACACTGTGAACCATGTGCTCCTGACTCAGTGGCTTAGAAAGCCATGGGCCTTTCTGTATTTCATGAATCCTGCACATGGGGGCCCCCTCCCAGCACCCCCACTCCCTACATAGCCCAGCAGCCCTTCTTCTGGTGGGGGGTGGGCAAAGGGGGTGGTCAGGTGTGTGCTCTAGGGTCAGCAGCTGTTTATGTTCATTCCGCACTCATGTAGAAGATAAAATTGCACCTGCTTTGATAGCTCTTAAACGTCCCACAAACGTGTGGTCTGCAGAGTAAATTTTCTAAACGTCCAAGCAGAACAGACCGTGCACTTCGAAGCCGTGAAGGAGGAGGTGTGCACAAGCCTCTTAATCCGCCTTTGATCAGAGGTGCACTGCCACTGCTGTTCCTCCCTGCCCGGGTTTGCAGGGGCCATGGCCCCCCTCAGCCCGGGGGGCGTGGTGTCCTCGGTGGCCGAGCCCCCTCTTCCATCGTGGGGCCCGAGGCTGGCGGAGCGTGGTGCTGGGCTCTTGCATCCTCCCGTCTCTCCGCTTCACACACTCCATCCCTGTGATTGCAGGAGCGGCCAGCTCGACGTGCGGGAGCTCATCTCCCTGTACCCGCTCCTGCTGCCCACGTCCTCCTCGTTCACCCGCTCCCACCCACCCCTGCACGAGTTCGCAGACCTCAACCAGCTGACACAGGGTGACCAGGACAAGGTGGCCAAATGCAAGCGCTTCCTCATGAGTTACCTGAACGAGGTCCGCAGCACGGAGGTGGCCAACGGCTACAAGGAGGACATCGACACAGCCCTGCTCAAGCTGTACGCCGAGGCCGACCACGACAGCCTGCTGGACCTGCTGGTCACCGAGAACTTCTGTCTGCTGCCCGACAGCGCCGCCTGGCTGGAGAAGCACAAAAAGTGAGTGTCTTTCCATCCCCGCCCCAGACGCTCCCCGGGGCTCCCCGCCTGGCCCTTCCCCACCCCCACCCTCACATGCTGCTGTGCTGCTGAGGAACCAGAGGGACTTCTGAGTCCCACACCTTCCTCCGGGGACCACCTGTCACCCGTGGGTTCATCAGCCCCATCACGGTCTGCAGACCAACCAAAGGGGTCTCAGAGACCACTCAGCCCTCATGTCAGTCATTCAGATGGGTCCAGTTCTTGGCGACCCCGTGGACTGTAGCCCACTAGGCTCCTCTGTCCATGGGATTTCCCAGGCAAGAATACTGGAGCGGGGTGCCATTTCCTTCTCCAGGGGATCTTCCCGACCCAGGGACTGAACCTGCGTCTCCTGCACTGGGGGCAGATTCTTCCCCGTCTGAGCCACCAGGAAGCCCTCCACACTCACCCTTATGACAGAACATGCAGTCATGGGCCTTGTGGGTCCGTGCACTGTCCAGTCTCCTCCATGTTCCTTCTCCATGGGATGGGCCTGTGCTAGCTGCCACACGTGTGTTGGTCAAATGATAGCTCACTTCAGCCACTGATGACCAGATTGAATGGAGAGGTGGATACCTGGATAAGTAGATAGAAAGGCAGGCTTCCTGATCCTGTGGACAAAAGGGATCAAACTCTGCCTTCATTACAGGCATGAGCTGGTCGGCGCCCATCCTCTTGCCAGCCGACTGCTGGGTATCGTGGGGGCCTGTCTGCAGTGATGACCCGACTAGACCAGCTTCATCCTGGGGGCAGTGGTCTAAGCCTTCTGGGCCTGGGCTGGGGGTTTCTTTAAAAATGAGGGGTGTTGGTGCTCCCTGTAAAATCCTCGGTCTGTGACCTTTGTTAAGCATGTGACGTGGCAGAGGTGCTGGTCAAATCCTGAGGGGACAGGCGCTCACAGCCCAAACCCTGTTCAGATGCAGGACGTCACGGGCCGGCGACTGGCCTCCACGCAGCCAGTGTCTTCTTCAGCCGCTTCCCTGAGTTTCCAGAATGCACTGTGGAGCAGAATGATTTATGAAGAAACCAGACAATGCCCTGACCTCCGGTGGCAGCGACGCTGCGACTTGGGGTGGGAGGGTCTGGCGAGTCAGTGTAGCTCTCTAAAAGCTTCCTGGAGAAGAGAAAGGTTCCAGGGGATAGTTCAGTGTCTTTGTTCTTTGAGGGGAGAAGTCTGACAGTCCCTGGGGCAGCTTGCCAGGAGGGGAGGGGGACCAGGAGGGGACACCCCTAAGAGCTGGGGAGGTGGGAACAGCTCACGATCCAGGCAGTTCTGTCTTATTCTGGTTCTGTCCACTTAGAAATGAGAACACAAGGGCCACAGAGGGTGACCTGCTTGCTCAAGGTCATACAGTCCATGAGTGATGAAACCTGGCTTGAAACTCAGGGCCCAGGACTCTGGGTGCTGCCCCAGCCCCTGCCACCCCGACTCTCCCTGACCGCCTGTTCACTGCCATGCCTGCATGCTGTTGGCCTTTCTTGCTGTTCAGAATCCTCCCTTCCAGAAGAGCTCACACAGCCTCCCTTCCAAATAGTCTTCATTCCCTGTGATGATTTTAATGGTGACCTGAAGAGATGGGAGATCATACTAGTGTTGGAAGTAAATTGTAAAGCAATTCCAAATGCCAGTTTCCATCGTATAACTGTAGTTTTTTTACTTTTCAGCTTATCTTAGATTTGAATATGGTCCTTTTGGGAAGTTGATAGGGAATACATTTTCATATGATAAGTAAATAAACAGAGATGGGGGTCTTTTTGCTGCTTGAAATGTGTTGTTGATCTGAGTTGAGCAGAACATGTGGGGCTGGGAAGAGGGCTGGGGGCATCGCTGTAGGGGTGCCGCCTCCAGCCTGTGGCCAGGAGAGGGTGCACTGACCCGGTGCTTTCTTTTAGGTACTTTGCTCTGGGCCTGCTCTATCATTACAACCACCAAGATGCCGCTGCAGTTCAGGTGAGTTCAGAGACTTCTAAGTTCTAAGCTTCTAACGTTGTTGTAAAACCACGTTTAACTCTGAGTTACTTGAAAAAAGAAATCACAGACTGATAGAGACCACTCTTGCCTGATCACAGCCCTTTTTACAGAACAAAAGTGACATCATTTTAGAAAGTGAATTCCCTGAGAAACACTGGCCAGGGATTTTCTTTTCTTTGCCTTTCCGTCTCTCTAAAGAACATTGTTAAGATTGAGTTTTTTTAAAATGTGAGAAAAATAGGATTTCATGCTGAGCCACAAAGTCTGCAATAACACTGCCTTATGAGAAATTAAGACTGTGAGTAGTAGTTGTAATTCCTACCATTAATGACAGCAAGTTTTCACAGGCAGCTGAGTTATCTGTCATCTGTGACAAAACTAAAGCTGATTAAGGCCAGTCGCTTGCCCGTGGGACCCCACTGGTCAGGGGGGAGCTGGGGTCTGAGCCAGTGCTCCGGGCCCTGGCAGGGGCTCTGTGCTCGAATGTCTTGGCCTGTCTCTTGCATCTTTTGTGAGCGGCTGGGAACACCAGCAGTGCTCACAAACTCACCAAACATACCTGGTTGCTTTGACAAACTACCATGATAATGTGATTGTGGAACAGGTTTAAAGAAAAAAATTTCCCATGAACATGTACCCCCATGGCTAAGAGCAGATTTGGGGGTCTAAGATAGCATTGTCATTTTTTTAAACACCAAGTTGTAAGAATTATAGTTTGCTTTAAATGTATTAATAACATTAGCAGAGCTACATAGAGAGGAATTTACAAAATTGAAATAATTAGGAATAAATCTCCACTATGGCAGAATTTTTTTAATTACACATTTTAATGATTGTGTGAATAATTGGGTTTGGGGAATTGAGCACTGAAGAAATTAGTAATATAGAAAACATTCATACATTGGTGTCAGAATTTCAGCGTTTACACTGCCCACTTGTTTCTTGGGCTTCTTGCTGGGGGTGTGGTTCAAAGGTCAGTGTGGACAGGTGGGTGAGGTCTGCGGCCCAGGGATGATGCAAGACAGGCTCCCAGGCTGTGCACATCTCTTCCACCCCTCGTGATGCCAGTTAATTCTGTGTCTCAAAGTAAGATTCCATTTACATGGGAGGGAAGTGTCTGAGTGAAATAGCAAAGCAAATATCCTTTATTATGAGGATCTGCCCTGGGCCCCGTGCCCATGGGAGTGGGAACGCCAGGGCACAGAGTCACTGAAGTGTTGGAAAGCACCTCCGAGGATGGCAGCCCAGAAGGGTCTTCAAAATCAAGGATTCCTGTGATGGAGAAGGTGGAAACACCTAGCTGATGGATGCAGGTGAATTTCTTCTCTGTCCAAACGTTGTCAATGATGATTTTATTTCAGGAAAAGACATTTTATAATGCATCCATGTCTCCCCATATTTTATATTTACCATTTGTATTACTGAGATCTCATTAGAAAGGAAAGAGAGAGAACTTGATGCTTTATGTTCTTGATTTATTGGGCCGTGTCCTCTCTATTTTTTTTTTATTTGTTAGAAAAAATTAGCATGGACTTAAGCCTTTAAGGTTTGTGTTACCCTTCTGAAATATTGCAAGGCCAGGTAAGCACACACACAGCATCTCTAAGCTAGTTCTAAGTGGTCTGTGTCCTTCCACCCCACCGCTCCCGGCTCCCCCTGTCCAGCTCTGGGTGAGCATCGTGAATGGGGACGTTCAGGACCCCACGCGCTCAGACCTGTATGAGTACATCGTGGACTTCCTCACCTACAGCACCGACCCCGGCCTCGTGTGGCGGCATGCCGACTGGGTCCTGCAGAGAAGTCAGGAGGTTAGTGCTTCAACAGTGCCTTCTTTGCAGGCGGGCGGTGTGTTCAGATGAGCTGGGGAAGGGTCCCAGGCTGGTCACATGGTGGAACTGAGACGTGGGTCCTGGCTTATAGAACCTGGAGTCCATCCTCATCAGAGCTATGCTGTGTTTTGGGGGTGTGGGGTGTGTGTGTGTGTGTATGTGTGACAGAGCGTGCATGTGTAAGTCCAGGGACACGCTCCTCCCTCTCCCCCCCGCCCCCGACTTCTGTAGCATTTCTTGGAAGATGGTGAACCAAGTTGACTGAATCTTCAGCCGCTTATATCTTCTTTCACTTACAATCCAGCAAGTGACCGTCCTTGTTGCGCTTGATCTGAGTGTAACAAAGCTGTTGCTTCACAGATTGTGGAAACCTGCTACCTATAAATGTTTGGTTCCTTAGTTTCCAACCCTTTTATTTATTTAGTTTTAAGATTTTTTTTTTTATGTGAACCATTTTCAGTCTTTATTGAATTTGCTACAATATTGCTTCTGTCTTACGTTTGGGATTTTTTGCCCCTGAGGTGTGTGGGATCTTCACCCCCGGGCCAGGGGTTGAACCTGCACACCCTGCCTTGGAAGGCGAAGCCTGAACCACTAGACCGCCAGGGAAGTCCACTCCCGGCTTTTTTAGAAGGCCCAGCTGGGGCTCTGGGTCAGCACCCTACACTGCTCTGGTTTTCTGGACCACCGCAATTTTGACAATGCTTTTACCCAAGGCGTGCAGCGCTCACAGTGAAGATAAGATGGGGTCTTTGAAAAGCACGATGACCAAATGGCTACTCTTCTCTCAGGTCGGGGTTCAGGTTTTCACCAGGAGACCACTGGACGAACAGCAGGGTGGTTTTAACCCAGATGATATCATCAGTTGCCTTAAGAAATACCCTCAAGCCCTGGTTAAGTACCTGGAGCATCTCGTCACAGACAGGAGACTGCAGGTGAGGCCCAGCTCTCAGGCCAACGTCGTGGGTTTGCGGGGGCCCCACGGGGACCTGAACTTGGCCAACGGGTCTAGCTGAACGTCTCATGTTCCTGGCACTCACTCTATACTTGTGGGAGGTCAGAGAGGGAACCAGACATTTGTGAAAGAGACCGGAGGCCCAAGTGGCTTGTTTTCACCCTCCACCTCCTGTCCCTCCCACTTACATATTTCTTCTTTTTTTTTCTTCCTTGTTATTATTCTTAAAGGAAATGAGCAAAGCTTCCCTGCTTTGGGGACAGCTAAATCCTGTGGGCCTTACCTAAATCCTGTGGCCCTTACTTCTCAGAGTGAGATATTTTCCCCTAGATTCTATTTCATTCTGTGTATTACTTATTTGGCTGCACTGGGTCTTACTTGTGGCACGTGGGATCTTCCTTGTGGCATGTGGGATCTTTTTTGCATCCTGTGGGCTTAGTTGCCCCCCCAGCATGTGGGATCCTAACTCCCCAGCTAGGGATCAAGCCTGCGTCCCCCACACTGGAAGGTGACGCCTTAACCACCAGATCCCAGGGCAGTCTCCCAGTTTATATTCAGCTCCTCTGTCTTGCTTTCTGAAAGCTTTCTCTCCAGTACTTGCGTTGTGTTGACCTGGAGCCCCTGCTCACTTGACACACCCGTCTCCTGCACATGCTGTCCGGGGTGGGGGGTCTCCGTGCTCCCTGTGCACATGCTCTCCGTCTGCCCGCCCCCTGTCCTGCAGAAGGAGGAGTACCACACGCACCTGGCCGTCCTCTACCTGGACGAGGTGCTGCAGCAGAGACCCTGCACCCCTGACAAGGGTGCAGAAGTGACCGAGACACAGGCGAAGCTGCGACGCCTGCTCCAGGAGTCTGATCTCTACCGAGTCCACTTTCTGATGGGTGAGTGGATCCATGTAGCCTCTGGATAAACGTCAGAGGGTGGTGGGGGGCAACGGGGCGGTCCGTGAGCCTATGTGGCACCAAGTCAGCCTCCTGGAGGCCAGAGGAGCCTCCTGTCTGTCCTCTGCCCTTTGGACATGGACAGGGCCCTTTAGCCAATGACCCAGAGGCTGCCCAGGGTGCTGGGAGGTCTGTGCATTCGCTGAGCAGAGCTGCTTTGAACTTGCTCACTTGGCTTTGAAGCCCTCAGACCAGTTCCTTCTGAGGCTCCGGCTGTGACCATGGCTTTGCTGGCTGGCACTGCCCCCAGCAGCCTGCTTGGCCACTCCAGGCTGAGAGGAAGGCATCCTTCCTGGACGGGGTCCAGTTTTCACTTCCTCCAGGGCAGGGACCGCAGTGTCCATGTTGTCTGGCAGAGTGAACTGTCTCCTGCTCTATGGGCACCGTGGGATTTCCACGTTGCCCTTACTGGTTTAAAATATTTCTCTTTAGCAGCATTTAACTCCAGTTTTTGACTGTTAGCTACAATCCTTTCTCATGGTTCATGAGAGGTGTGTCCTGTATAGCCCCCACAATTGAACTCACAGACACTATACCATCACATCTGGCAAACCACTAGTCACAGTGTTTCCATCAGCTGATCCATAGAGAACCTTGTTTATGTTTGTTCTGTTGAAAGAGACTTTATTTAATGTATATTGTTGATTCACTGACACTGACCTCATGGCCAGAAAGAAGCACATGACTCAGGCCTGAATGATGTTCCCGTGAAGAACTCTGTCCTAAGGCACCTGGTAGTCCTCCTGTATCTACACATCCCCAAACTGCTACCCAAGCCGGGTGTCCAGGTAGCCAGAGTGGCAGTGTTTAGAGGTGTCTGGGCAGCCTGGGGTATTTCCCAGGTGGCTTAGCAGTAAAGAATCTGCTTGCCAATGCGAGAGACAGAGGTTTGATCCCTGGGTCGGGAAGATCCCCTGGAGGAGGAAATGGCAACCCACTCTAGAGTTCTTGCCCAGCAAATCCCATGGACAGAGGAGCCTGATGGGCTACAGTCTGTGGGGTCGCAAAGAGTTGGACACAGCTGAGCAGCTGAGCACAGGCAGCCTGGGTGGGGGAGTCTCGGGGTTTCCATGTAGCCGGAGTTGCTTTGGGAACTCTTAAGCTCACGGCGCCAGCGGGCAGGTGCAAGGTTGGATGTCCCCCGCCTGGCATGGGCACGCCAGTCCCTCACCGGCAGGTCCCACCCCGCAGACAGGACCCGGGGCGCCGGGCTGCCCCTGGAGAGTGCCATCCTGCATGGGAAGCTGGAGCAGCACGAGGAGGCACTGCGCATCCTGGTCCACGAGCTGGCGGACTTCCCAGCGGCAGAGGACTACTGCCTGTGGCGCTCTGAGGGCCGGGACCCGTCCTGCCGCCAGCGGCTGTTCCACCTGCTGCTGGCTGTCTACCTGGGCCCCGGCCCTGCCGCGCCCGAGCGGACCGTGGCTGCCGTGGACCTGCTGAACCGCCACACCGTGGAGTTCGACGCGGCCCAGGTGCTGCAGCTACTGCCGGGCACGTGGTCGGTGCAGCTGCTGCGCCCCTTCCTGACGGGTGCCATGCGGGACAGCATCCACGCCCGGAGGACCACGCAGGTGGCCGTGGGCCTGGCCAGGTCTGAAAACCTCATCTACAAATACGACAAGGTGAGAGCGCGGCCCTCCTGGGTGAGACGTTTAGCGTTGACGTTAGCCCTGGAAAAACAGTCCTGGTCCATTTTCTTCTCTATGACTTCGACACACAGCGTGTGTGAGTCACTCACGCAGACATGGGTGTGGGAGCCAGGCTGGCAGGGGTGAGGCTGGGGCAGTCTCCCGCCCTGCAGACGCCAGCGATGAGGAGAGCGGAGGGAGGTGGTGGCCAGGCCCCAGTCCACACCACAGGGCACGGTGTCACTCCATCCATCCGGCATGTCCGTGCAGAATTGGCTTTCACAGAAGGGGGAGCAGGGACATGGGGTGTCACATAGAGCACGCGGGAGCCAGCTGTGGACCACAGGTCAGTTCAGAGCCCCGCGTTCTGCATCCTGTCTTCATCTTCCAGGGCTGCTGTAATAGATAAGAGTGAACCCCACAGGCCAGCGGCTCAGATGACTCACAAACAGTTCTCCCTGTCTGGAGGCTGGAAGCCTGGAGATGCCGACTGATTCAGTGCCCTGTGAGGCCCCATCCTTGCTGTGTGCACAGGGCCGGGCGTGGGCCCCAGTCTCCGCTAAGGGCCCTGCGGCCATCATGGGGGCCCCGCCTCCAAACACCATCCCACTGGGGGTCAGGGCATCCATGTAGGGAGAGATACAGGCATTCAGTCCATAGCAGCCCCAGCTCATCAGAGGCTTCTCTCTGATAAGGCCCGTGTGCCCTGCACCCAGCAGGATGTCCCTCCAGAACAGGAATCTGCAGGTCTCTCCCCCTGGGAAGACATCCTTGACCTCCCCCAGTGGAGAAGCCGAGGTCTGGAGGATCTGGCCTCCCTACTCTGACCCGTCCTTGCCCGTCTCACTGTTTCCAGGACACGTGGAAGGAGCAGTGGGCTTGCCATTCCACACACACAGCCTTGCTACCCACCGGTTCCTCTGCCTATGTCTCATCTCTTCTTTTTGTGCCTGATGAATGGCTCCTTGAATCCCAGGCTAGCCTCTGTTCCCCGTGAAGCCTTCCCATCCCTCCACGCAGACTGGCACCCCAGTGCCCACCCAGTGCTGCGCTGTGGCGTCCCTTCCCTGTGAGGCTTCGGGTACTTAGGGCGGGAGCTTCCTTGACTGATCTCCGTATTCCTGAGCCAAGGCTGGTGTTGTCTTGAAGGCGTCAAATGTTTGTTGAATGACTAAAGAAACTAACAAGTATGATGATTCCCCAAGCCACCAACAGGCTGACTTGCTGGGTTTACTCACGTGAATTGTGCAGAAAGGCTTTTAACTTACAGAACTCAAGTCCTGTGTTTCAGACAGGAAATAATAAAGTTGTATTAGTTTCATTAGTTACCTTTAAAGAAAGGAAATTATGTGTCCCGGGACAGGTCATGAATGTGCTACAGGTAGACCACGTGCCTTTGACCCTGTCTCTTATCTGGCTTCACTTTTCTGGTTTGCAGACAGGGGTAGCAGGAATTAGATGACTTTCTTGGCCTTGTCAGCACTAACGCACCTTGACTGCATAATGACTTTTTTGAATGCATCAGGGCTCAGAGAACATTTGAGAGAGGGTCTTGGTGAGAAATGCCTCAACCAGAGAAGAAGCAATTACTTTTGTAAAATAAGAAGGCGGTTTTGTAGCTTTTGTGACTCTTCTAGTTCCTGAGGATAGTTTTGTTTATTTTCACTGTGAGATTCTGTTTCCAGAAATTGATGTTCAATCTGTCCCCACCAGGGATGACATTAATAACTACCCAGGGGGCGATGCTCGTCAGCTCTGAAAACTGGTCACAGACGTCTCTGTCTTTTCTTTCCTTCTGCAGATGAAGCTCAAAGGAAGCGCCATTCGACTCTCAGACAAAAAGCTTTGCCAGATGTGCCACAACCCCTTCCTCGAGCCTGTGTTCGTTAGGTACCCCAACGGCGGTCTCGTCCACACCCACTGCGCGGCCAGCAGACACACGGAGCCCAGCTCCCCCAGCGCCGGGGCTCGGACTTGAAGAGGCAGGACCTTGGGTCCTCACCTAGCCTGGCGGGTGCACAGACAGGAGGCTGTGACTGCTCTGCCAGTCGTCACTGGGTGCTGGGGAATTTGGTCCACGGGAAACAGGCTGCGGCCAGCCCCTGCCTCGGATGGAAACGGACAGTCCCTCCAGTAGAGACATGCCAGGTTTCCCCGTCCAGGGACATTGCCGCCCACAACAGACGTCTGCTCCCTGAAGAAGTGAGCCTTCCCGTACAGCCCAAACAAATCAGACCCCCACCCCTCGCACTGATCTGTAGACACATGGGATCATCTGCTCCAGGGTAACAGCGGGGACCTCGTCCTGGTGGGTGAGTGGCCGGGGCACCCAGCTCTCCATCCTGATTGCCCGCCCACCGGCCACACCGAGCTCTGCCTCTGCCCTGCAGGATGGCTGACCTTGGGGAGGAATTTTTGTTCCTTTCCACTTCCCATCTGGCTCCCAGCTCCTAAAAGATCTGCTTGGGTGCCCCACCCTTCCTTTTGGGATTCCCTTCTGGCTGTCTCGAGAGTGAGGCTCTGAGAAGCTGCAGACGTGCCTGGAAGAGCTGCTTTTTGGTCTGGAGTCGTCGGCGGGGATGGGAACCCATGGCGTGTGGCCTGCTGGTTTGAAACTCCACGATTCACATGGTCGAGAAGAACCTTTTATTTGAAGTTCTGTCCTCTTCGTGGTTTTTCTCTAGTTTGGAAATTCACCCATCATGTTCACTAGGGACGATTTTCCTTATGGAAACATATCCACCCTTGATCACTTGGGAAATTAAAAGGGAAAGGTTGTGAGCACAAGCCAAGTGTGTTTGCTGGGGCGGCTGGTGGTCACCTCCACACTGGGCGGGGTGGGCTGTGGGTGACAGCTCCTCCTGCACTGGGGGTCGTCACCCTTCCCGGGGGAGCGCCGCCCCCACAAGGAAGCCCAGGCAGGCTGCCTTACCTCCCAGCACTTTACATGCCTGCCCTGCGGCTTCCCAGATGCACAGGACAGAAGTCTCCGGCAACCTCGGCATCACAGGCCCGCATCCACTCTTGCCTCTCTGTCCAGCATCTCGGGGAAGCTGACGCTGTGGTTACTTCACTGCCCTCCTCTGAATTTCTTCCTGCTGATGACTGACTGACCATCAGGGACTAAGAAGAAAGATGCCATGACCCCTGCTGTGAAGCTTGGCAGATACGCATCAGCCTGTGTGTGTGACGGGAGGACCCCCAGACCTGGCCTGTATCCTCAGCCCAGGCCTTATGGACCAGGTGTAGAGCTCACCCACCTGCAGGAAGGCTCTGTACTGATAACCGTCTGTGTTCTCGTCCCTCTTATGATTTGAAGGGGCTGGGAAGCACAGGCACCCACGCACCTTCTCAGCTGCATCTCAGTCTCTATAAAGAGTCAGTGATGAAGAAATTCTTGCAGCTCGGCCGTGTGCTGTGTGCATACTGGCAATCAAAGCCGGGTCGCGAGTCTTGCCCTGTAGGTGGCCATGAAGGCATGCTCATATTGCTGGGGACGTTATCCTTACAGCTCGCTTGTGAGTTTGGGTTTATTCCTCAGAGAACGAGCAACTAGGACACAGAATTCTACACTTCTGAAAGCACTTTTTCTCTCCACGAGATGGGTACAATCCTGGAAAAGCATCCTGGTTCCTAACTCGGGGGCACAGGTCTTTCTTTGCTCCACACTTTGATCAATATTTTGATGTTTGTTATCCTTTAGAATAATGGAACTAAAGTTGAACAGTTTTCTATCTCTACTGAGCCCTCAAATGCAGCAGGATTCTGTGACCCTGTGCAGAATTGTAAAAACCTTGCCTCTCTAATCAACTCCCCCACCGACCAGGCCCCTTTCTCAAATTATATTTTTAAAAGTTCATGGCTCTTTCCAGAGGCCTGCTCTTTTGTGATCGCACCGTTGATTAGAGGAATTAGAACCATCACTCGCCCCTTACCTCCCTGGGTCGATTCGGTGTCACCTACCTAGTTAAAACAGCACGAAGTGGGCATAGCTAACATTAATATTTTCTGGGCAAGACTTTAATTTCATGAGCTGTTAATCTGCTGTCACTTATCAGGCATCCCCATGGGAGGGTTGTGTGGGCTGTGGATCCTTGGGCCTGCGCTCCGAGCTGGAAGGACCCCGGGGTGTGTGTGCAGGGGATCCGGGGGCCTTGGGTCCCACCCTCAAGTCCCTGCCCATCACACAGCCAGGGTGGCCTGGGCTTCCTGCTCGCCCTCCTATGGAGACCTGGCCCTTTACCCTTTAACCCCTGGATGGGTCCGAAGTACACAAGATGTACAAATGTAAACTTGTTGATTTTATTAAAAATCCTTTTAATTCTTTGTTCCTCCTGTAGTTGTTTTTTAAATAAAAGTTATCTTGGTGAGAGGATGGTTTCCACTCCCAGGGCATCCAGCCTAAGGGGGTCCTCGAACTTAGTCCTCAGCCCTGGTGGCCTGTCCCAGCTCCATCAAGGACTTGTATTGTCCACCTCACAAATCTTTACGTGTTACTTCACTAAATTGTAAACAATGCACTTGTGTCTCCTGCAAAGTCTTTAGGTGTTCCTGGACACCTTAAGGGCTTTGGATTCATCCTGCCTGCAAAGTCCAACAGAGGAGATTTCTGGTTACTTCTCTGACAGGTCACCTTTAGCCAAATACTCCTAAGGAAACTTTCTGCCCTTCAGTTTCTAGCCCTGAATATATTCAGAGGATATTTGTGTGTGTGTTATCGCTAAGTCCTGTCCAGCTGTTTGCCACCCCAAGGACTACAACACGCCAGGCTTCCCTGTCTTTAACTGTCTTCCACCATTTGCTCAAATCATGTCCGTCGAGTCAGTGATGCTGCCTACCCGTCTCATCCTCTGTCGCCCCCTTCTCCTCCTGCCCTCAGTCTTTCCCAGCAAGTTGGCTGTTCACATCAGGTGCCCAGAGTACTGGAGCTTCAGCTTCAGCCCCAGTCCTTCCAATGAATATTCATCATAAGGAAGCCCCAAGATCAATTTCTAGATTCTTCTTCAATACAGTGCTATTGAAGGTGTTGTTTGGTTGCTAAGTAGTGGTCTGACTCTGCGACCCCCTGGACAGAGCCTGTAGCCCACCAGGCTCCTCTGTCCATGGGATTACCCAGGGAAGAATACTGGAGTGGGTTGCCATTTCTTTCTTCAGGGGAACTTCCAGACCCAGGGCGAGAACCTGCGCTGCCTGCATTGGCAGGCAGATTCTTTACCACTAAGCCACCAGGGAAGTCCAATTTGTGGAATAGTATGATCTAAATTTTGCAAAAAATATATTTACTTTTAATGTAATTTTTTAAAACTAGAGAATCTTTAACTTTGGGAAGAGGTTTCATCCTACAAGGACGAAATTACCTCTATAATAAAAAAAAAAAATCAGGTATTATTTTTAAAACTTGTCTTAAACCTAGGGAACATTCATTCATAAGGATGGCAAGTACACCATTCTCTTACAGAATCTAAATCTAAAGTATAGCATCACCTTGTGTCTAGTTAAGAACCTGCCCATACCTGCTTATTGCATTGTTTGAGAAGGGAAAACTCAAGGAAAACAGAGAAGGGGGCCAGGGAGTGACAAGGATCTGAGGGCAGGAGAGTGTCTGTAGGTTCACACAAAAGTATAATGAATGGAGTCTTAGATGCTGGGGGACAAAAGTAGGGCGGAACGTCATCCTAGGAAAGCAAGGGAGACCCCACGAGAGATTCGGGGTGCGACCTGGGCAGATGCACCTCAGCTGCCCGCTCCCCGGGAGGCCCCGCAAACCCGAGCCGGTGGCAGCCTTGGGGAGTCAGAGCCTCCTGCCTCCCACACTGTCTCTCCCTTACCTCTCTGCACGCCTTGAAAGCAAATTACAGCTTTGCACTTTTCCATGTGCATTTCTAAAATTATTCAGTCCTGTTAGTCTTTTATAGAGAGGTGCCTGACCCTCTCTTCATGGTTTAATAAAACATTCGGAGTCGTCATGACACCACAGCCAAACACCGTCAGCAGGAGAGACGATGGCAGCATTTCAATGAAGGAGGAAATGAGAAATGAGTCCCCAGAGGACATTTCATAAGGAGCAGAAAACCTGTCTTTTCAAACATGCTTCTGGAAACGAGGTTGGTTATTTCTTTTCCAGCTGGGATGGTTGGTGAAGGGACAGCGGCTGCCAGACCAGAGGCAGCAGGAGGGAGCCAGGGAAGCTGGACCACGTGGATCCCGGGAAAGGAATCATCCTTACCACCCCAGCCTTGGGGGTGGTTAGGGGTTTACCTGGACACGTCCAGCCTGAGCTGGCGTATTGGCACCGTCGGATTCCTGATACAGAAGGTAGCGTTCCAGTCACACCTGAGTGTTTCTCATTTGGACGAGTTCTTTCTGTTCCCATCGGACTAAGGAGGAAAATGCCCTATGAGCTGCAGTCTCTCCTTGGTTCTCTCGGAGCCAGGCACGCTCCAGCACCTCTCCTAATCCTAGAACACGTTATCCCTGATCCTCCGGGACCGAAGGACAGACAGCGGAAGGTGAACTAGGACTGCCTGGTGCAGTGAGTGACCTTGGATGCCCACCCCAAATAATGCATACGTGTGCATGCAAGTGCACGCTCACACACTCACAGACACACACACATACACACACACCATGCTCTGTGTTCCCACATCTTTCACCAGGTCAGCGTGCTCAAACTGCTCAAGAAAAGGGAGGCGTAGGGGCTCTCGGGGAGGTTACATCCAGATCGTGTAAGGGTGAAGAAGCAGAGGGCACCCTGCGGGCGGCAGGGAAGGAAACCAGAACTTGCTACTTACGTATGATTTTAGGACAAAGTTCACCGAAGGCTCAGCAAGGCTGGAGGGAATTATGAAGGTGGCAAAGTGAAAGTCAGAGGTGAGGGACTTCCCTGGAGCTCCAGGGGTTCAGAATCTGCCTTCCAAGGGAGAGGATGCAGGTTCGATCCCTGGTCGGGGAACTAAGATCCCGCGAGCCACAACTACTAAGGGAAGACCCACCACAGCCAGAAAAAGTCAGAGGTGAAACTAACTGGCTGGAATTATTGAGCAGGGTGGAGAGTTTTATTAAAACCCTGAGTGCCGCCTTGTGACCCCTACTGCTGAATCTCTCATTGGTCATCTAATCAGTAATGTCCTTCAGTCGCTGCAGCTCCGTTAATGGCTTACAGGTTCTAGGAAGTGACTGTGTCTTAGGAGATGTTTGACCCCAGATTCCTGGCTTGCTATCATGGCCCTAGTGCTAATTTTGGCAAGAACACAGCCTTCCACACTGAAAGAGCAATAATACTTTATTTAAAATATATACAAAATTATTACTTTGAAACATATATATTACTGTCCAACACACATCATATAACACTGATCGATGTAAATTTTGGAACCTTCATTCATTCAGTTTGGGGATTTCTCTTTCACTCAAGGCTCCTGAAGAACATTCTCTTAAGAGACCACCGGATGGGAGGTGCCCAGAGGCTGGGTCTCTGTGGCAGGCGGGCTGTGCTCTCGGACACCACCAAGGCCATGCAACTCTGCCTCATGGGGCCTGAGGGCAAACCCTGACCTTGCCGGGGGCTCAGAGGACACAGATGTGAGGGACACACCTCGATCAATCACACACCAACTGCCCATCTTCAATCAACCTCTCTCTCTCATCTCTCTGTCACCTCTCTCTCCCTCTCTGAGTATAAAAGGGTCTAGGGGCTCTGGGTCTGTGTATAAAAGAAGGGCGGGGTTGGTGAGAAAAGTGCCAATTATTTTCTGGAAAAGAACTCCTCTGGGCTTAGAGGAGGGTAAACCGTGTTATCTTTCTTTTTTGCCTCTGTCACAGGAGGAGAAGGAGGAGCAAGTCTGGTGATACAACCTTGGAAAGGAAATGAGAAGAAAAACACACAGGGGAGCATCTGTGTTCTCACGCCAAATGTGAGTTCTGATTATCCTGAGATAACTCTGACATCTGCCTCTGGGCCCAGCCCCTGCCTCATTCACTAGCCCCTCCCACCCCCCACCCACACAGTGCCCTGCACCTCTTAGGCATTTAATTAATGATAGATAAATGCAGGAGGGGGATGTGGTGTCTACGAGTGGAAAACATATTCATTTTAGAATCAGAGTCTTTGAGAGGTGGCAGGGCCCTTGGAGACCTTCTAGACCTGCTTCCTCAGGGATAGGGAAACCAAAGCCCAGAGAAACTGGGGAGAAACCAGCACGGTCACATGAGTAGTTTCTAACTGAGTTGGCCTTAAAATCATGTTTTCTCCATTTCTTTTTTAACCTCCCACTCTCTTCAGATCTGAAAGTGTAAGGACAATCGGCAGAACCAACCCTGTGCCCCAAACTCAGGAAAGTCACTCCCAGCCCCAGAAGCTCCTGGTGGTAACAGTGGCCCAGGGAGGAGAGGCCCACCCAGTACCCGGGACAAGCAGAAGGATCCCCTCCAAGCATCTGTCCTCTGGATCGCGGTCCTGCCTCGGCTGGGGCCCGGGGTCCCAGGGTCCCAGGGCGGTGGCCCAGGCTACAGCGGTCAGACTCCTGCAGCCCTGAGTGAGGTAGAGGAACACAGAGGTTGTGGGGGCAGCCCAGTGGTGGGGGTGGGATTCCCGCCGCTGTGACGGGGTGATGTGGCGGGCCTCAGAGCATCACAAGAAACATGTAAACAAAGCCCCCAGCCACTTCTGAGACTGAAAGCAAGTCAACACAAGAACTTACTGAAAAGATGAATCAACAGGACGAGGCATGTGGTACCCGCTCATCGGTCAGCTGGAAGGAGGGCCAGGTGGGGCGGGACAGGAAGCAGGAAGAAGAGCAGGGCAGGGCTGTCACCGCTGGCCCAGAGGCGGCTTCAGGTGAGGGGTCACGGCGGGATGAGCACTGGGGTGGGCTTCTCCTCTCAGCTGAGCTGCCCTCGAACATTCCCTGGGCTTCGAGCCACCAGGTCTCCCCTGTGTCACGCGGGAGCTGAAAAGCCCAGCACCCCTCTGCTTCCCATGTGACTTTGGTTTCCAGAAAGCATGGTTTGGCATCACCCCAAATGCACATCTGACCAACACAGAGAACTCTGCATGCTTCCACCACACACACACAGACACAAACGCCTGTGAAGGATGCTGGTGCCCCAGACTATGCCTGACCACCCAGAGATGGATGCACTGGGGTTTCTCACATCAGAACAGGGCACCCAGGTGTCTCCAAGGCAGGCCTGGAGAGGGCTCTTTAGACAGAGCCTTCCTCCTGCCGCTCAGCCAACCTCCCTCCTGCTCCCCCTCCTCCCTAACTTTCCATCCAACTCCTGCATCACTCATAGCTCAGTCGGTAAGGAATCTGTCCTCAATGCAGGAGACCCGGGTTCGATCTCTGGGTCAGGAAGATTCCTTGGAGAAGGAAATGGCAACCCACTCCAGTATTCTTGCCTGGAAAATCCCATGGACAGAGGAGCCTGGCAGGCTAGTCCATGGGGTCGAAACAGTCGGACACGACTTAGCGACTAAACCGCCACCACCTGCATCACAGCACGCATCTCCCCTTTGGTCTTGATTGCCTGCGGGGTTTCCAGCAGACTCGCACTGCTGTTCTGCAGCAAGAAACAGAAATAATTCATCATGCAAACGCGGGAGCCCCAGATTCCCTGGTAACCAGCGAGTCCCCTTGTGCTAAGTGCTGACTGCTCGGGAGTCCCAGGAAGTCAAGTGGGGGGCAGATGGGGGCTACAGCTCGCCCCTCCCCTACACCGCGGACTGGTTCTCTGTGCACGCGTACACGGTGCTCGGCTGGATTCGCCTCCGGATCCGCTCAGGCACTTTGGGGAGGATCTGGAAGGTGGGGGGCAGCAGCTCCAGACAGGCCTCGCGGAACTTCTTGATCCGCCAGCAGTAGACGATGGGGTTGAAGACGGACTTGAGGTAGCTGAGCCCCAGCACGCAGGAGCTGGTGGCGTAGAAAGAGGGGCCGCAGTAGAAGCGCCGGCTGAACACGGACAGCAGGCTGTACACCGAGTGCGGCAGCCAGCACAGCGAGAAGCCCACGAAGAGGATCAAGATGGTGGTGAAGGCCTTGGTCTTGAAACTCAGGTCCAGGCTGGCCTGCTGCTGCTGCCGCCGGAGCCGCCGCAGGCAGGCGCGGGGCAGCCGGCGCAGGTCCAGGCGGTCGGACTGGTTGTGCACGCGCACCGCGTTCTTGCGCACCGCGTGCAGGACGCCCAGGTGGGCGCCGAGCATCACCGCGAAGGGAACGAAGAAGGCGGCGCCCACCAGAGTCAGCACGTAGGCGCGGCCGGCCGGCAGCTCGGTGAAGCCCAGCACGCACTGCGGGGCCCGCGCAGGCACCTCCACCAGCGTCCAGCCGGCCAGCGCCGGCGCCGAGACACAGAAGGACAGCGCCCAGGACGCGGCGATGATCACTTTGGCCCGGCGGGGATTCAACCGGTCCTGGCGCTGCGCGATGATGAGGAAGCGGTCCACGCTGACGATGAGCAAGATGGACACACCCTCCAGGACGAAGAACCAGTAGAGCGCAGCTGAGAGCCGGCAGAAGGAGTCCCCGAAGTGCCAGTGGACAGTGATGAGGGTGACGGCCGTAAAGGGCATGCAGCACAGGCAGAGCATGATGTCCGAGAAGGCCAGCGTGGCCAGCAGCAGGTTGATGGCGGAGCGCATGGTCGGCCGCTGGTACACGATGATGCAGACCACCGCGTTGCCTAGGAACCCCACCACGACCATCAGCATCATGAGGACCGCCAGGGACATCCTGAGCGGGGCGGGCGGTGGGGGCGCCCTGGAGTCCCGCTCGTGGCTCCCGTTGGGCAGCAGGTATTCGTAGGTCTCGATGGACGACTGGTTACAGGCCATCATGGAGGAGGTCCTGGCGGTGAGGCAGAAAGGGGGTAGGCGGGGCCTCAGCGATTCGGGGGCTGCATGTTCCTCCTGCTGGCTTGGGTCTCCGGGGCGCTGGAAGGGCTGGGAGGAGCCTGTCTTTGGGAGCAACTGGCTGGGACGGGCGAGTCATCAATCACAGCCTCATCGTCTCCGTGACAACTGGCGGTGCAACTTCCGATGCTCTGGACGGCCTGGAGCAAAGAAGCAGGCAAGAAGAGGGGGTTAGACCTTCCAAGCAGTGTGGAGTAGAACAGTTTTTTACCTTTTACAGGTATTTTAAGCATCAGAGTGGAGATGACTCACTTATTTACCACTTGGAACAAGGCTGGGTCTTCACAAGCATGACAAGCCTTGTCACATCACCTGGGAAACCTAATCAGACCCACCTTGAGTGGGACCAAAGTTTGTCATCAACATTTCCATAATCAGCATTTATTTAATACTACATCCTCAATACATCCTAAAGGAAATCCACCCTGAATACTCATTGGAAGGACCGATGCTAAAGCTGAAGCTCCAATACTTTGGCCACATGATGTGAAGAGCCAGCATATTGGAAAAGACCCTGATGCTGGGAAAGATTGACAGTAGGAGGAGAAGAGGGTGGCAGAGGATGAGATGGTTGGATGGCATCACTCAATGGACATGAGTTTGAGCAAACTCCAGGAGATGGTGGAGGACAGGGAAGCCTGGTGAGCCGTCCATAGTGTTGCAAAGAGTCCGACACGACTGAGCAACTGAACAGCAGTTTATTAACTTGAATTATAAGGACCCTGATCCAGTGAAGCTTTGCGTGAGGCAGCTGCTCGAGGAAAGCCAGCTCCATGAGGGCGGGACTTTGTGTTGTTTGCTGTGTCCCCAGCAGAGAAGATGCTCAACAGAAGCTTTATTGAGTAAATAAGTGTTAGTTGATGCCACCACTCTATGTTTAGCCTTTTTGTTGTTTAGTCACTCAGTCATGTCTCTCTCTCTTGCGACTCTATAGACTAGCCCACCAGACTCCTCTGTCCGTGGGATTCTCCAGGCAAGAATACTGGAATGGGTTGCCATTTCCTCCTCTGGGGGATCTTCCTGCCCCAGGGATTGAACCTGCATCTCCTGCATTGGCAGGCGGGTTCTTTACTGTGGAGCCACCTGAGAAGCTTGTTTGACCTTAAGCAGTTGTAAGAAATAATCGAGCAGGATCGCATGTCTTCTTCCCCCAGTTTCCGCTGTGGTACCCCTCCAGAAAACTGTGGTGCTGCCAGAGTGTTGGGCTTCCCTGCTGGCTCAGATGGTGAAGAATCTGCCTGATTGCAGGAGATGCATGTTCAGTCCCTGGGTTGGGAAAATCCCCCTGGAGGAGGGCATGGCAACCCACTCCAGTATTCTTAAGTCTGGGAAATCCCACGGACAAAGGAGCCTGGAGGGCTACAGCGCATGAGGGCACAAAAAAGTCGGACACAACTGAGTGACTGATCACACCGCACACACACACACACACACACACACAGAAGTATATAATAGTTGGGGTAAGAACCCAGCCTGGGATTCAGATAGATCCTACCAACTGGGTTGATCTTGTTTCTTAATTTCTCTAAGTCTTTGTTTCTTTGCCTGTGAAGTGCCCCCCAGGGAGGGCTGTTCCTGGGAGCACGGGAGGGGGCTGGCCCTCAGTGCGGGGAGCAAGGCAAGCAGATCACTGTCCTAGCTGCTCATTTCTTTTCTTCTTGCACCTGAGCTTTTATTGAGAGATTGTTGACATATCACACGTGTCAGTTTAAGGTGATGATGTGATACATGTATATATTGTGAAATGATGCCCACAGTAAAGTTAGTTAACAGCTCCATCTCTTCATGTACTTATCAACTTTGGGGTGTATGTGTGTGTGTGTGTGGTCATGAAATTATGATTTACACTCTTCACAACAAATTTCAAGTGTATAATACAATCTTGTGAATTGTACTCATGATGCTGAGCGTTATTCACAATATCCAAGGTATGGATACAAGTTAAATGTCCATTGATGGATGAATAAAGATATTTTCGTGTATATGTGTCTGTTGCGTGTGTAAAAATGGAAGCACTTTTGAATTATTAACAAGATATTATTTATTATATACTTTGTTTAAAAATTACCTAAAAGGATAATGCAATTTAAAATATATAAGACTTAATGAGCCAACAATTTGACTCAATTTTCTTTTTATAGGCCCAATCTTTGTTTCCCCTGAGAAATAAATGTTTCATAATTTCAGTAAAAAGACTGTTGCAGGGAGCATATAGGTGACTGAGGTGGCCATGGAACCCGGAGGGGAGGCAGCATCAGCTCTGGGTCCCCCAGGCTCCCCCAGAGGAAGCCCCACTGGCCGTGGGGAGGGCTCACATGAGCAGTCCCTCACTTGGGCTGGTGCAGGCAGGGCCCACAAGGAGCCAGAAGAACACACTTGACTGACTGGAGCCCCCTGCCATCGGCAGCCGTCCGGGAATGAAAACATTCGAAGGAGAACTGAATTGTTTCTTCTTTCTACTATCTTCTGCCAGAAACAAAATGCATGAGCCAGGTGCAAATCAGACCTGTAGATGCTTCCAGAGACACCTTAGGGATATGTCAGCTTCTCTCCTTTGGAAGTCCTTCTCCGGCTTTCCACTTATTTGCGCCCACTTCTTCCTCTGTGCTGGTGAGAAGCATCTTTTTTTCCAGGTTCCTTACAGTCAATATCATAGAGATCTCAAGTTGAAGGGCTGGGGGTGGTGAAGGAATTCAGGAGGTCTCACACCACATAGTCTAAAGGCTCTGCCAGTGACAATGTCTTGGTGATGCTACTTCAGCTCAGGTCCACCTGGTCCGCGATGCTCCAGGGTAGACCCACGATCTGAGCTCCAGTTCTGAGCAGGGCCAGAACAGGCTTATCTCAGTGGTGGGAGCAGTTATCCAAACCTGTGGTGGCTGAGCTATGTAAGCAGAGATCTGCTGTGTTATTCTGTAGCTCTCTGCAGATCACAGATGCTTTTGTTAGCAAAAAACAATACGTCTGTGCCTCTGTCTTCCAATCTATGAAATGGAGCCAACCACATGTCTACCTCCAGAGTTCTAAGAACACGTGCAAGGCTTGGTACAAAAAAGGGCTTTAGTTAATAACTCACCAACTAGTAATTAGTAAGTTAATTCTACATCCCTCTTTGTTTCGAGTTCATGGATTTCTGTCTCTTGAATTAAAGAACAGGAACCATGACAGGCATGCTTGAAGCCCTGGTGGATCAAGTCCCTCCTGGAGCACAGAATAAGGGCCACTGAGAAAAAGACAAACCCATGTGTCTATCAATCCTGGCTGAGCCTTTCACCTGCCCCTGTCTCCACGCTGTAAGAATGGATCTTCCCTACAACATAATTATAGGGAGCGATTTCATGCTTAACCAAAGGAACAGATGGTGCAAGGAATTTTTTTTTTTAATATGTGTCTTGAGGTTCAATCAGATTAAAATTGTTTGGGCTTCTGGGCAACAACTTGTCTCAGATATTTTAATTCAGCGTTTTGGTCACAGTCCTGTTGTTCATCCCCAGATCGACAGTGCTTTTTTTACCAAGTGCTCAGGCACATTAAAGATTAAAGTAAGAGGTAACAGGTGAATGGGAGATGTTCTGGGGCCTTCTTCAGCCTGAAGCAGCTCTCAGCATCTCTCTGGCAGCTTGTATGTGGAAGAGAAGGGTCGTGATGGGAATTGTAAGCCCAGGAAGCATCGAGCTGGGAACGGAAGCATTTCAAGGCACTGACTGTAGTTCCCATGCAATCGATCCCACCCTGGGGCTCAGTAGGCAGGCAGGTGGTGAAGATAAATAAGCATCTCGGTCTCACAGAGACCCGAGCTGGGCTCCCTGTGCTAATACAGCAACTTGCCACTGGCTACGTGTTTTATACACGGTCATGTATTTATGTCACTCCTACTCTCTGAATTCATCCCACCCTCCCTTCCCTACTGGGTCCACATGTCCATTTTCTATCGACCCAGAGAGGAGGGATGTGATGTGGGAGGTGAGAGGGAGCTTCAAGGTGGAGGGGATATATGTACACACATGTGCTGTGCCAAGTTGCTCAGTCATGTCCAACTCTTTGCAACCCCATGGACTTTAGCTGGCCAGGCTCCTCTGTCCATGGGATTCTCCAGGCAAGAATACTGGAGTGGTTTGCCATTTCCTCCTCCATGAGACCTTCCTGACCCAGGGATCAAACCTGTGTCTCTTATGTTTCCTGCATTGGCAGGTGGGTTCCTTACCACTGGTACCACCTGGGAAGCCCCTATGTATATATATAGCTGATTCATTTCGCTGTATAGTAGAAACGAACACAACATTGTACAACTGTACTCTAATTAAAAATTTGTTGACATATTTTAAAGAATAAAGAAAAAGATGAGAAAAAATAATCAGCATTGTGAACTGGGGTTTCATTTACGAAGGGGAGGTGACAGCCTGTGCTCTGCTGTGAGCAGGGGTCCACTGGCCTGCTCAGTAAGCTGCGTCTAAGCCAGGATGGAAGGAGCCACTGGCAGTGAGCAGAGAGGAGACGCTGAACTCAGCACGGCGTTCGCTGTCTGCAGCTCCTTCAATTACTGCTCACAGGGTCGCAGAGAGTCCGACATGACTTAAGCAACTTAGCACGCACAAAGGGTTTTCAACGGAGGCTCATGCCTCCTTTCTTGTCACGACTAAAGCAGAATTGTCCAAAGGTGGGTCTGCATGGAGGCAGCAGATCGTCTGATTCACACGCGTTAACTGGGAAAAAAAGAAATGCGCAACCTAAAAGTTGAGAGTTAGGTTTTATTCGGAGGACAAAACTGAGGTCTTACGCCCAGGAGACTGCCTCTCTGATTGATAGCTCAGAGGGACTGCTCTGAAGAAGTCCCAGGGATGGGGGGGTGGGGACAGACGGCGGGGAGAGAGGATATGTAGGAGTTTTTGCAACAGAGACCAGGTAGTCAGAACACCCAGAGA